AGGGGCAGCTGCTACTGCAAGCAGCCTCTGTCGGTGGGGCACCAGGGTCCGCTGAGGACAGAGGCTGCTTCGTGGTAGCCTCCCCTGCCCACCCCCACCACTTCTGCCTCTGATAGAGACAGTAGTGCGGGGGTGAAGGGGCACACGGCATTGTGGATCTGGTGCTGGAGGGGAATGAGCTTATAAACCAGCTTCCTCCAAGTACCGACTCCTGCTACCCACAGAGGAAGCAATCGGGGGGATGCATGTAATCAACAAGATTAACCAATAAGCCTAGGGTTATTGGTTAATTGTATAGTCAACTACACACTGACTTGATTATTCCAATGGATTTAATGATCTCAGCGTAGTCCCAAGAACTGCTCATAAAGAATGACAGAACCTGACACACAGATTGCAACTGTTGAAAGACACAAGTATATTTCTGAATTTATGGAGAGATCCATTAAATAAGGTCCCGCTTTTGCAAATTTACTTTTCCAACCATAATTACACTTCAAAAGACACCCATGCACACAGTAAGCAGCTACATGTGATTAAGCAGTTACCACCATTAAAGAGTAACAACAGCATATGAATTTTTTGCAGTTTAGCTGATGGTCTAATCCAGAAATGGGCAATAAGCAACCTACATGCAGCTTGCTTTATTTACCTATGTGTCTGAAGGTATGGCCACTCGCAGCTCCTGTTGGCTGCAGTTTGCCATTCCTGACCAATGGGAGCTACGGGAAGCAGCATCCCCGTCCAAGCTACTTCCCGTAGCTCCCATTGGCCAAGAACGTTAATCAACAGTCAACAGGAGCTGCGAGCAGCTGTACCTGCACATCTGCAGGTAAATAAAGCACGTGGCAGCCTGCCAGAGGTTAACCTTGGTGAAATGCATCTGGCCTGTGGGTTGGTCTAGTGCAACTGAAGTCAGTATTCACAGCAAAAGGTACTTCTGCAGAACACAGTCGCACTAATGCAGATGTTGTAAAACTGCCAGTACTACTGTAACATAAGAACGACTATACCTGGTCAGACCACAGGTCTATTTAGCCCAGTATCCTGTCTGCCGACAATGGCCAATACCAGGTGCACCAGAAGGAATGAACAGAACAGGCAACCATCAAGTGTTACCCATTCCCAGCTTCTGACAAACAGAGGCTATTTACTATTCCTAGTCAACCTGGCTAATAGTCACGGATTAACCTACCCTCCATGACTGTATCTAGTTCTTTTTTGAAATCCATTGAAGTCCTGGTCTTCACAACATCCTCTGGCAAGGAGTTCCACAAGTTCAGTGTGCATTGTATGAAGAAAGACATCCTTTTGTTTGTTTTAAATCTACTACTTAATACATTTAAATCTGCTACCTATTACCAGAGAAAGGAAAATAAAATACACTAACCAAAACATATACCTACCATAAAACTATCACAGGAAAAGTGTTGATAGTATCATTCTTTTTTCTTAGGTAACATGACAGGCCATGCCTATAAGCATGTAATCACAACAACAACAAATATTTTACTGAAAGATGAAGTGAGATTTAAAATAGATTTATAGTAATGAATGGAAACCAGAAGCTGGGAACTCCTGAAAATTGACAAAAGGGAAAAGAAAGACATAAGCAAAAATTGATGGCTAACTGAGTCAAGGAAACTAAGAAGGGTTTTTTGTTTATTTTTTAAAGTCTTTTAGGAACTAAAGGAATCCTGTAACAATGGAATTGGTGCATTACTATACAGATGTGGTAGAACAGGTTAGATAGACATCTGTCAGGGATGGTGTAGACGGAGCTTGGTCCTGCCTTGAGGGCAGGGGGCTGGACTCTATGACCTCTCGAGGTCCCTTCCAGTCCTATGATTCTATGATTCTAACTGTTAATAATGCAGAGGGGCAGATGTGTTTAATAAATATTTCATCTGTATTTGGGAAAAAACTAGATGTGATAATGATGATGAAGAAATATTTTCCATTTGAACAGTAACTGAGGAGGATGTTAAACAGCAACTACTAAAACCAGACATTTAAAAACCAACAGGTCCAGGTAACTTGTATCCAAGAGTTCTCTGGATCATTACTGTTGATTTACATTATGCCTTAAAAATGTTGGATACATCACAGAACACTGGAAGAAAGCTAATGTGATACCAATATTTTAAAAAAGAGTCAGTGTGACAGCCTGGATAGCTATAGACCCATGACACTGATCATAGGAAAAATAATGGAATGGCTGATATAGGACCCAAATTATAAAGAATTAAAAGAGGGCAATTAAATTAATGCTAATCAACATAGGTTTATGGAAAACAGATCTTGTCAAACAAACTTGTTTTTTTTAACGAGATTACAAGTTTGGTTGGTAAAGGTAATAGTGCTTATGCAATATATTTAAACTTCTGTAAGGAATTTGACTTAGTATCAACACATTTTGGAACATGGAACACAATAATCGGATTAAATGTGTCTAAGAAAAGGGTCTCAAAAACATAATACAAAATAGCTGTGAATCTACTAGGAGTTTTCAGGGTTCGGTTCTTGTCCCTAAACTATTCAACATTTTTATCAATAACGTGAAAGAAAACAAAATAATTACTGACACAGTGTGCAGATGACACAAATATTAGGAGCGTGTAAATAAAGAAGACTATCATTGATACAAAACAATCTGGATCACATGGTAAGCCAGAAGCAAGTAACTAATGTGTGTTTCAATATGGCCCTATATAAAGTCTGGCATTTACAATTCAAGAAGGATTTTGATAAATTATAGAGTTAAGACAAGAGCCACAAGAATGATTAATGGACTAGAAAACATTTCTTACGGTGAAAGAATCAAGGACTTCAGCTCAATCTATTAAGTAGATAAAATGATTAAGGGGCAACTTGATTGATCTGTCAGTATTTACACAGGGAACATAAATGTGATAAGAGCGCACCTTAATCTAGTACAAAAAGGTATATCATCCACTGGCTAGAAGCTGAACAAAGTCAGATAAGAAATAAGGTGCAAATAGTTAACAATGACAGTAATTAACCAATAGAACTACTTATCAAGGGTTAGTGATTTCTCTATCACGGAACATTTTAAAATCAAGATAGGATGTTTTTCTAAAAAATATGTTTTAGTTCAAATGAAGATTTATTCAGGAAGTCCTATGCTCTGTTATACAGCAACTCAGACAAGATGGCAGGAGTGGCCCCTTCTCGCATTTTAATACAAAGTTTTCTTAAACTGGATAATCGTTAGTCACACAGTCTATATGAGGCATAAGTCATAACCGGCATCTTATGAAACTCTATTTTGCATTATGGAGTATGTTTTATGAGCGTACAATGGAGAAATATGTATTTCTATCTAGTAATATTAATAAATATTTGCTATTAAACTATTTTGCCACACTACATGCTAGTGAAAAAGTCTCAGAGGAGTAGCCACATTAGTCTATAACTTTAAAAACAATAAGTAGTCCTGTGGCACCTTAGAGACTAACAAAAATATATAGTAGCATGAGCTTCTGTGGGCAAAAGTCATTTCATCAGATGAGCTGAAATGTAAATAAGAGAAACCAAGACATATATAACAGTAAAAAAAAAAAGTACCTGTCAATTATAGGAACGATGCTGTTGAGGCTAATTAAGTGGGCTAGAAGTGTCTCATTCTTGGTTTATGATATAAAAGGTCAGTTGTTAAAGGCAGGGGAGATTGGCTTTATAATGCAACATCCAGTTAAGGTCTTTGTTCAAGCCCAGGGTAACAGTGTCAAATTTGTAGATCAATCTCTCTCTCTAATAATGGCTATTTTAAAATCAATGATTAAGTGACCAGGTATGTTAAAATGTTCCCCTACAGGTTTGTGTGTGTTACCATTTCTGATGTGTCCATTTATCCTTTGTTGCAGAGACTGTCCAGTTTGGCAAATATAAAAGGCAAAGGGGCATTGGTGGCATTTGATATATTTCACATTAGAGGATGTGCAGGTGTATGCTTCTCTGATGTTATAACTTGTGTGGTTAGGTCCTGTGATGGTGTCACTTGGATGTGGACAGAGTTGGCAACAGAGTTCGTTGCAAGGGTAGCTCCCTGGGTGAGTGTATCCAAGGTGTGATGTGTGGCTGCTGGAAAGCATTTTTGAACACCACTGGTCATCATCTTCAGCCCCCCCAGCTTAAACCCCTCTAGTGCATCATTGACAATCTACAACTTAGCCTGGAAAATGCCTCACTCACAAGCTGAAAGAGACAGGCCAATCCTTGCCTACAGACAAACCCCCAATCTGAAGCAAATGGGACACTTCCAGCACTCTTAATTAGCCTCATTAGTACAACTGACAGATACTTAAGAGCAATATTATACAACAGCAAAAAAGTAACAGAAACCAAGAAAAGTCATTGTGTCGGGGTGTGGTTTCTGTTACTTCCACTCCAGCTCATCTGATGAAGTGGGTTTTACACATGAACGTTCACAATATTATTTTTTTAGTTAGTTTACATAATTTCACTAGCAGGTAGTAGTCCTGTTGCACCTTAGAAACTATTGCATATCATAATAGCCACTCAAAAGGCAATTAATAGATCCAGAGACTCTGTTCAGTTTCAAAACAAGAGTAAATTTTGCTATTCGCTTTAAAACAGTGCAACTCTTTACAAAACATGTAGCCTAGCAAGCTAAAGACTCATTGTGTGTCGGCAAGACTGTGAGCTCACTTTACTCAGAAATGGTTTATTCAGTTATAGTACAAAAGTCATCACTCTTTGCAACAGTAACAGCTTCATTTAAACTCTGCTCAGATGATAGCATTAAATAGATCTACCTAATTTAAATTAATAACCTTTTCAAATGAGAGCACTATTTTACATACTGCAGCATCACAGCCATTTAAATTTTTGCAGAGAAAATGATATTGTGTCATTTATTCAGAGAAGGATTAAACAGTCATCCACTTACAAGATTGAATTTAATAAAATTCGTCTTTTAATGGTTGATCACTTCTATATAAAACCATAACATTTACCTGAGCTTTTTCCGTACTCGTTGGTTGTAGATGTCTGCACAGCACTTTCTTCACAACATCAAGAAACAAACAAGTGACAACTATGATGATTATGGCAAACCAAGCTGAACCACTTGACAGCAACTGAACAAATACAAAGTACATGTCCTGAGTGTGCAAAAATGGCCTAAAAATTAGAGAAAGGGTAATTAGAGAAAATATTAAAAATACAAATTACACAAAGTTAATTTGCTAAATCTGACCCTGTTTTAGCATGTCCACCAGAGTAACTCAGAGGTTAGTGACCCAGAAATGGGCGAGTCCACTGTGGGGAGTCTAGTAGTTGGAAAGTGGCACAGGGCAGCTAAACACTGAATGGTGTGGACTGGGGGAGAGTCTGGCTAGGGAATTTTGGGAACATGCTATTTTAATTCATCCTGGCTGCAGCTGCTAAAAGAGGATGAGCTTCTTTGGAGCTCCTGGAACACGTTAAAACAGCTCCTCAACAAAACAATGAAGGACACCATCACAGAAAAATTGCTTCCCTGTATGTCATGGATTTCCCAATTGTGCATGGTTCCACACTGGTACAGTAATGTGAAATTTGCATAAGATATCTGTAGAGCCAGAAATGAAAAGAGTGCAGGATTTTGAAAAGGGACATTACTAGTCTTTAAAGTATTTTGATTGTTAAACTAACATTAGCTATTTACCAATTAGTTCTATAACTTTCAGATAATCAGTTCATCTTTCATATTTGACACAGTGAGCCTTGCACAGTGAAGTGAAAATGTGTATTTTCAAAGAGAATGGTCTACATTTTTCAGCATTCATGTGTATGAAATAGGTGTGAGAAGTTTAGTCAGAAAGAGGTAAATGGCTTGTCAGAGAAGGCACCCACAGTACAGTAGCAGGCAAAAGAGTTTCCAGAAACATTATATGAAACAGACTGAGTCAACAGCACAGCATGCTGAGAATTGGAAAACAGTCATCCAAAATTGTTAAGGTCAACCTCTGAAGCTTATGACACTGATCCATAGGACTTTGTATGACTAATTTCATCTACCCAAACCTCATGGATATGAGTCAACAGTGTGCCGGTATAGACAAGAAGACTAACAGCATATTAGGGTGCATTAGGATGAGCACTGCCAGCAGTTCTCGAGAAGTGATTATTCCCCTTTATTCGGCACTGGTGAGGCCACATCTGGAGTATTGTGTCCAGTTCTGTCCCACCCCACCCCCATTACAGAAAGAATGGGGATGCATTGGAGAAAGTCCAGAAGAGGGCAATGAAAATTATAGGGGGCTGGAGCACATGACTTATGAGGAGAGGCTGAGAGATTTGGGCTTATTTAGTCTACGGAAGAGAAGAGTGAGGGGGGATTTGATAGCAGCCTTTAACTATCTGAAGAGAGGTTCCAAAGAGGATGGTGAGAGGCTGTTCTCAGTGTTGACAGATGACAGAAGAAGGAGCAATAGTCTCAATTGCAGTGGGGGGAGGTTTAGGTTCAATATTAGGAAAAACTATTTTATTAGGAGGCAGTGAAGCACTGGAATGGGTTACCTAGGGAGGTGATGAATCTCCAACCCTAAAAGTTTTTAAGTCCCGGCTTGATAAAGCCTTGGCTGGGATGGTTTAATTGAGGTTTGGTCCTGCTTTGGGCAAGGGGTTGGACTTGATCTCCTAAGGTCTCTTCCAACCCTATGATTCTATGATTCTCAGTTTTCCTAGCTATAAAATAGGAATATATATCTATTGTAATGTAATGAAACAACATTTATAAAATGCAATGTTATGAAGGGCAGTCACAAGGAGACATGGAAATAGATTGTCACCATGCAACATGCCATCAATGGACCACCAGTGCTTGAGAAATATTAATTATTAATTCAGCTCAAAACCGTGTAACTCTTCTCCCAAGAAAAATGTTACTCAAAATGTTACTCACTAGAGTTTTATTTAACTAACAACAAACAAAACCCCCAAAATAAGTAAACTTAGAAAAAATACAATTAATTTCAGAGTTCTAGAATTCATTAACACATTTGCTTCAGGTGTGGAACAAATACATGAAAGGCTGCAAAGTTGTACATTATATGTTAGGAGTAACAAGCTCTAGATTGAAAGAAAGGGGCAAAACCCCATTCCTTTTCCCCTTTTAAATGTATAAAGAATTTAATAGCTATAGTACAGGATCTACCAAACACCAGAAGCAACACTCTGTCTTCCTATTGTATTAATATGCACATACAGACAAAAAGAAAAAATCACTCACCAGATAATTCCCCCATAAAACAAGGAAAATATGAAATAAAATACAATGGAGCCCCAGGTAACAAAATGATTTATCCAAGTCCAGAAATGAGTCTCTAAAGCCATCTAAAAACAAAGAACACATTTAGAAAATGATCTAAATATGTTTTAGTTTATTAATATGAAAATACTATGTTATTTTCAAATTATTTGCATTTACTTTCAAAGTTAACCAGTAAACATCTTTCAATATACAGGAAGTCAACACTGAGAGCCTAACACCCTCAGAGACAGGAATTATTTACCACTCATATACAACTAAGAAACCAATTTTAAACTGACAAATTATTCTGTATTTGCCTACATTTCTCAAAATGGAAGGTAAATATGCTACTGTACCTTCACTGTAACAGTTATCACCATAACAGTGAAGACCAAAGTACCGAAAGTCCAGTTTCCAAACATCTAAATAAAATACAAAAACAGAAGTCATTCAATAAAATCAATTAAAAGCAGTTGTACTAAATTATACCTATTTGAAACTAACTACACTAATGAAACCTGTGATTGACTAAGTAGAGTTAGTAGAGCAAGAAGAGTACAGCACATACCACAAAGGAAAAAAATATAATTCCTATTAAGACTCACAAAATTTACATTCCACCAGCAAGGAATCTTTCTCCTTACTACAAATCTACAGCAGATGACGACAAATGCTACAAATCTAGAGCAGATGACGACAAAAGCAAACCATAAAATGAGATGTTAGGAAAATGAAGTTACTAATCAACCAATTATTCAGCTAGCCATGACTAATTGATGGTAAAGTATTCCACTTCAGAGTTTATAGCAGAAACTCCTCTATTTTGAAGTTTAACATTAAAGGTTATTTTTAAAATGCAGCATCTCGGGAGGGTTTAGTTTTTCCAAACCACTGTCTTCATAATTCAAAAATAATGGTGCTGTTATGTTCTTCAAAGGAAACATGAAGAAAAGAATGACAGTTTCCAGGACGATAAACTGAAAATTTAATCCCAACTCTAAAATACCTTTAAAGTATCCACCACTTTCACCATCCCATCCCAATATACTAAATTATCAGACCTCAGAACAAATTCTCCAACAATGTTAGAATCCCAGCTCTAATAAAAGGCAAGGATGCTGTGTTTGTTTCAACTGTGTACCTGCATGCTGCACAAACACGTCACCCTTCTACTTGCCTGCCTATACCATTCTCATGAACAAGCAGGTACTGAAATTGAAGAGGCTTGGCAGCCCCTACATGTAATGGTGACTGACACTGCATACTTGATGATGGAGAGCAGGATATTTGTAAATTTCATTTCTTTACCATTAGAAGTAGACAAGCATGGATAGTGCAGGAAGCCACTATTTGCAGATATGCAACCAAATACATCATCTTGGAGTTGATGGCTTAGTTCACCAAGTAAAAAGCTAGGATTAACATAGTTGCAGCTCTTGTCAGAGAGGACTGATTTTGCAAACAAAGGAAAAACAAACTCAAGTGTATCCCCTACATCTGGTGCCTTGTTATATGAGGGAGAAAAATAATTTTTCAGCTTCCTATGAGATCAAACAACTGCTATTATGAATGGCCCATGAAAGAAAGGGTCTTATTTACATCACCCTTCATGGCTGTACAGCTACAATGAAAAATACAAACTAATTCTTGCCACCATTTTTATTTTTGAAAGTATTTACATAGAATAGATGCTGCATCCTTTAATTTTGTGGAATACCAGATATAATATTTTGTATCATCTTCTCTTCTTTTAACGTAAATCTTACCATTTGCCTGTTAGGTTTCAATATCTGACGACATGCACAGCATGAAAAAGGGGGAAAAAAGTAGAACTAAAAGATCAAGTTGAAGTACAGTGTGTCACGATGTAAGGTTATTAAACCTCAAACACGCATTTTATTTACCTCCGGTGTTACTGAAGCTAACCATTTGTTATCTATTTACAAAGTAAATTATTCCATTTGGTGCTATAAAAGTCTACCATTAAAGTCTATACTTAGGCACTTTGATGTAAAAATAATTTTTTACCTAAACCAGTAACTGCTCAGAAATGCATTGGTCCAGAGGGGAAGCGCAATACTGAAAAACGTTTTTTATTCAATAAAATTCAAACGCAAGGTATATATGAATGCACAAGCAGAAAGTCATCTGATCTTTGCTCAATTAGTAATGATATTTTGCTCAGAGGTTCAACTATTTTAATGCCTGTCAAACATCTCATAAATGGACAGGCACTTTAGCTAGCTGTAATATCACCACTTTAAAAATGCAGAGTCGCAGTGTGGATGGCTCCCAGAGCTGGAACAAGCTATGACTGAGCACTCATGCCTGATCCCAGACCACTGCAGCTCTGCCTTTTAAATGTAGGAAGAGTCTGGCAGCTCTTACCACATCTAAAACACAGAGTTACAGCAGTCCCAGAGCCGGTGCAAGCTGGGACTGCTCAGTTCCAGCTCTGGGAGTTATGCCCTGCTACAGCTCTGCAGAATGCTTCCCCTTATCAACTAATTGTGTAGTCGACACAAATTGTGTCAACTGCACCATTAGTTAAATACCCGCCCCTTAACATCTTTAATAGGAAGATGGGGTATTGCTCACATCCTTACAGTACGGGATCTGTAGAACTATGGGAACAATCAAGATGCCTTTTATAAACAACTGACTGCCATAAGTGGAAGCTATGAATGGAAGCTTTACTGAGGCTTAAGCAAGAATGAATTTTCTCCACTCAAGCTCATATAAAGAAGTGGGTTTTTGCCCAAGAAAGCACATGATACTCTGTGTATGTGTGTGGGTTTTGCCCAAGAAAGCACGATTTATTTATTTATTTTCTCTCACACACACACACACACACACACACACACACACACTCTAGAAGACTATAAATTCAAAGATCCATGTCCTCACTATGGGGAAGTACTGAATGTAGTCCAAGGCAGGCTCTGTTAATGAGGATGTGCAACTTCGGACTCAGAGCCCCAGGAGTTTTCCCAGAGGCCAATTAGTTCAAATTAACAGCGCTGGAGCATCCATACGAACGTTATTTAGGACTTACAAGTTTGGGAATAGCATTATTCCTCATGAAAATCAGGACTACAGAGTTTGAATTCCATGGGCCCTTATTCCAGAATAAAGGGTTTGGTAGTGTGGACACATCACTTACAAAATCAACCTTGGGGGGCGCCTAATTTCGCTCTAAGGTCCTAGCATAGAGCAGGCCTAAGGTGCCACAGGATTACTCTTTGTTTTTGAGAAGTCTATGGCACAGGTATACAGAATATAACATATTGACAATTCCTGCCATCAGTGACAACACTCATTTGGAAGACCTAAAAACCCGTCATACTGCAAAATAAAATGATTGTATTCACAGAAATTAATTTTACAAACATTTCAAGAAAGATGTGGAGAAATTGGAAAGGGTACAGAGAAGAGCGACAAGAATGATTAAAGGTCTAGAGAACATGACCTATGAAGCCAGGCTTCATGAACTGGGCTTGTTTAGTTTGGAAAAAAGAAGATTAAGGGGGGACATGATAGCGGTTTTCAAATATCTAAAAGGGTGTCACAAGGAGGAAGGAGAAAATTTGTTCCTCTTGGTTTCTGAGGACAGGACAAGGAGTAATGGGCTTAAAGTGCAGCAGGGGAGGTTTAGATTGGACATTAGGAAAAAATTCCTAACTGTCAGGGTGGTCAAATATTGGAATAAATTGCCAAGGGAGGTGGTGGAATCTCCCTCTCTGGAGATATTTAAGAACAGGTTAGATAGACATCTGTAAGGGATGGTGTAGGTGGAGCTTGGTCCTGCCTTGAGGGCGGGGGGCTGGACTCGATGACCTCTTGAGGTCCCTTCCAGTCCTATGATTCTATGATTCTAAGGTGCTGGATTAGTGTCTCAAAGTCTGAAATCTTCTTTCTTCTTAAAATAGGCAATATGTAGATAGTGGAAATGAGAGTTTCCCTGCATCCTAGAGGGAGACCACAAACTTATTTAACATAGGCCAGTGGATGGAAACAAGGTCACTGAGATTGGGTTACAGGTTCACATTTACCCTGAGAAGAGATATATCTTCCATAACAAAGTTACTAAGTCAAATAGCTCTCTTTGTAGAAATTATTTGCTGCAAGGAGAAACATCTAACTTCTAGAGTAGGACTTAGTTTTCCTGTTATTTGGCATTCAATACTAAGGTACATAAGCCAGGGGTTCTCAAATTTTGTGATACTGCAACCACCCTCTAAGTTGCTCGCGACCCCCCCGGGGGTTGGCACCCACAGTTTGAGAAACACAGACATAAGCCAAGAATCTCACTGAAGGCAATAGACATAGTAAGTAATTGAATGTAAGGAATATCAAATCTGTACAGCCACTTGTAGAATAAATACTGTTTCTCACACTAAATCCTAGTCATACAGAAGCAGCAGCTGCCCAATAATATCAAAGAAACTGCCAAAATGATTGACAAAAGACTAGCTAAAACAGTGAATAATGATTATGAAAAATTGTTTAAGTCACTAAGCCAGTCTACAATTTCATAATTTACACAGAACCAATAGGACTCAGATTCAAACATTCAGGCCAGAAGAGACCATCCTAAAATCACATAGTCTGACCTCCTGCACAGTGGCACAGAACCTTGCCCACACACTCCTGTAATAGACCCAAAAGCTTTGGCTGAGCTACTGATGTCCTCAAGTTACAGAGATGTTAAACAATGACATTTTGAATAATCATATGCTGGTTCTGTGACAACTTCAAAAGAAGTCTTTCATCACATGCTTTCAACGGGACTTTTTTGAATAAAGATACACAGTTATGGAGAATTACTCTGACAATTAAGAGTTGCACAAGGTTTTCTATTTATTATCTTAATAAATATCAAATCATACTTCAGAGCACTCTAAAGGATTGTTTGAAATTCTGTTAGTGACTAAAACAGAAATGCTGATCTGGAAGGGTCTCTCTTTTAATGCTTGGTTTTCCATTACTATAAAACAAAACAAAATCACCAAAACGACCCCATTTTTACATATAAAATTTAAAAAAAATCAGTAATACATCTAATATTACATGAAAACCTGTAATCAAATCTATTTCAACTGTCAATGAATTTGGACTGAAGATGACAGAGCATTACACATAAACACCTCCATCCTTGGAGGTACAGAAAGTCTACACTTTGATAATATTACTATTTACTTTAATATTGTGGTATTTTTCTGTGTCTGATGTGAATAAGTAATTTGGTGATTGTATGTCTTTACTGTATTTAAAATTCATATTTGTAGTAAAAGATGATGTATTTAAAAACCTGCTCTAGTTCAGTCATATTGCTACGGAATTTTTTAATATTTATTAGGAAGCAACTGTACAACAAAATAAGTAGTATGGAGTACTAGGTCACTGTCCACCACAGCTTTATAAAAGATAATAAATACGTTATTTGGTTCAAGAAGTTTCAGAATGACCCAAATTTGGGGAAAATGTGAAAAAGCATACTTAGAGCAATTCAACTCAGTTAATTTTATTTTTGTTTTCAGTATGTAATTTTTCCTTTAAAAAATCTTGATCAAATATGTAATTTTAATGTGAATATCAAGTTCACATATAGAATAATCAATGAGCCACGCAGCATGCTTGAATAAGTAGTCTGTGTCAGCTGACTTTCACATATAAAACCATAATAATTAGAGAAATAAAAGAAATAAAGCAGATAGAATCTAATTCTGGACAAACATCCAAGCACCAACAGATCATCATTTAAATAATCTGTTTTGCTGTGTTGTCTGCACTTGAATTTCCTCAGTGTTAAGATCTTCTACTGCCTATAATATAAAGGAATAATGGTAAAGCATATTTTATATTTATTCAGCAATGCAGGAATTTTTAAAATCTTCAAAAAAGAAGCCTACTGGTTTACTGAAATCGAGTATGATTTTTACATTTATAGTACATTGACTTTACAAAAATTGTGCACAGTTTATTGAATGAAAAAAAATCACCGAATATGCTATGTTGCAATTTATGAAATATTTTACCTGACCATTTCCCAGAAGAGAAGTGTCTTCTCCCATCAGAAGATATGAGCCATAAAAAAACACAACTGCATGAAAGAATCCCAAAATGGTCCAGTAAAGAAATGGTTTAAAGCCCAAGAGAGCATTTTTACTAATGTCTCTGTGGAAATAAAACACATTTTATATTTAAATTTCTCTCTTAACCAATCACCCAGCTACTGAAACAGCATTTAGTCAAAGCAATAGCACTCATTCATTCTGTAGCACTGCTGAGATGCATTAAAAAAATGCAAAGAAACAAAACAATTATTTAAGGGACAAGTAATGGGGAATTTTGAAATCACTGATATATTTCCCATCTATGCAAAGACCTCTAAATCATTTTGCAAACACCTAGTGAGTTGGCTATTTATCTCAATTTTTAAAATGGAAAACCACGCTGAATGAATAAGTGATATTGTAAGAGGCTGTAAAAGGAATCAGTGGGAGCTCTCAGAGTATCCAGCTTTAACCACTTTTTAAAAAGCTTGTCTCGGCTCATTTTCTAATGGACAGGTGTCCAATTACAGAGTTTAACAGGAATCTCAACAACAAATGTATCTGAATACCAGACTCCAAAGTTCCTCTTTTCCCCTATGGGAGGCAAGGCCTGCTTCCCAAGTCCTGTAACCCTATTTTGTCAATAGACTTATTTCACACGTTACTTTAGATGCAAATAAAACAATCCACAATGTAAATTATGATGGACGGCTTTACCTAAAAGATCTTAGGAGATGACATGAGTACATTTAATTTTTAGCTACAGTACATTTTTCTGTCTGCAACAAGGAAAACATGTTCAGTAAATAAATATCTATATATTGTAGAATGTAGCTGTGTTTGTGTGTGTCTGTCTGCAAAGTCAGTTTGTTCAAGAACTCCTAAATGGTAAGAGCTAGGGTCACCAAATTTGGTATACAGCTTCCTCTTCTAACTTAAAGCAAAGTCAGGGTTTGGTTGCGCCAGGGCAACTGGAAGCCCCAGGAAAGGGACAGTTTTCCATAACCTGGAAAGGGAGGGGCTGCTTTCAGAGGGACACAATATGAGAGTGGCCTTTCCAGGCTTGCTGCTCCCAGTGGGGAGCTATGCTGCAGTGTCCACTGGGGGCAGCTGTACCACCAAGGGAGTGTCCAGCAGGGTTGGGGCTCTACCATTTTGCCAGCCAATACACTAGTAAGTAGACACCCTGTCCTAAACCCTTCTATCTTTTGGCTGCAGCGCTGGGCACAAAACAGGCCCCAGGTGGGCTGGGGAGGTGCTGTGGGGAGAGAGAACATGCCGCTGGCCCCCAACCTCCTGCATGACTCCCAAAACCCTGCCCTGAAGGATGCAGCAATACCAGGTAAATCAGTTAATAGTGTATAATTTAAAGTCCGCTGATCTTTAGAAACTAAAGGGCATAAGCACCACCAATACTAAGGCCCCGACCCAGAAGGGGAAACTTCTCATGCTTCCCCCCCTTGCAGATGCTGACTGGCCTGTGGGTGGGGGAGAACGAATCACCAGCTAGGTTCCGCAATGGGAGGAGACCTCACATGCTCCTTCTGTCCCTCCCAGGCCAGTCAAGGCCTAGAGGCGGGGGGAGCACGTGAAGTCTCTTGCCCCCAGTCCTTGCCCTGCCAGGGGTGTGTGGCGGTTGGAGGAGACTTCACATGTTCCCCTGTACCCAGATAACAATTGGCCTGGGGAGTGCAATAGAGTGGCCGTGGGCCAGATCCAGCCTGTGAAGGCCCTTTTGTCCACCTGAGTTGGTGTTTTGAAAAATGTAGTACTACATGCTGACACTGGGGGTACTCTAGCCCACAAAGACACAAACTGCAGACAGCAGAGAAACAAGACTCACAGAGGATAAATTGGGATTAAGAGAGACTAAGAAGAGAGTCACACAAGGATAAATACTATTTTATCTCAACCTACTCATCACTGCAAGGATCGCCACTTGCAACCCCACAACTAACTCTGGTCCATGAATTAGCTTTTGCTTAGCTTCATGATTTCATCGGAGAGGATAAAAGGCAGGGTGGACCGAACACGTCTCCAGTTCCTTCTCTACCATAAATCCGACATCCACAGCAGAGGGGAAAGAGGGCAGGAAGTGGAATACATATAGGGACTGCACATCCCAAAGAACTTCCTGTTACATATTAGTAACCCCTCTCTTCCTCAGGGGAGAGTCTTTATTCTATTCCACTTAAAGTGATTAGCAAGCACTATCTAATTTGAAGAAGGGTGAGAGCAAGGGGATGAAATGGTTGAGTGGAGGCCAGTTGTGCTGAATGAGATGCCCATCGCAGAGATATACATTTAGGTGTAACATGTAGTGAAGATATGTACCAAACTCCACATGGCAACCCTACATACTTTCTAAGCAACACATTGTGACGATCCTCAAATTTCTTGTCAGAGATGACTATGTGTGAGGGTGAATGCTGTGACCTGGAGGATGGGACTGATGGGTCTTCTGGTACCTTTGTGGAAATGTATACAGTTTTTGGTGGAAGAACTGGGAAACCTTGAATGGCTGTAAAAACGGCAGATGGTAAAAATCTGTGCTTGGGTGCAGATCTAGAAATACCCAGCATTTGAAGTATGGCATAAATCCTTGAGGGTGCGGAGGGAATCATTGGTTTTCTGGTTAAAACAATGTGATTAATTGAAAGGGAGGGCAGGGCCTCAATGAAATTTTGTACCTCCCCAGGAAACAAAATGAATGAAGCCATGATTCCCTTCACATGACAATGTCTGTAGCCATTGAGCATGCTGAGGTATCTGCTGCATCAATAGTGCTGTCCGCGACACCAGTTTCCCTCGCTCCAGGATAGACTTGGATCTTGCATCCCAGAAGATCCAACCATTTACCCTTCTTACCAGATGGGGGTAAGACATGGATGCTGTTGTCTGGACCATTCAATTGCTGTTTGTACCATGAGGGAGTTGGACAGGAGTTGTGAGAAAAGAAACTTAGACCTCCTTATCTGGGATACAGACTTTCTTTTTTACCCCTTTATGAGTGGACCTGTGTGGGGCTTGGTTATACCAAATTATTTGAGCTGGCTGAAGAACAAAAACGTTGATTGGTAAAACAATCCTACTTAGTACCAAGGAATGATGAATATCCTGGAGCTGATGCCGTTTGTCTTGTACTTCCTACATGAAGTTTGTCTGCCATCCTTTGAACGAGATCTTGGAACAGTCAAAAGTCATCTGGAGGTGAGGACAAAGATGAAGTCACTGCAGCATCTGGGGAGCATGATGGAAAAAACTTACTTTGGCAATTCTGGTCTGGTTCTTCCTATATAACCAGTTTGGAGAGAGTGCTCTAGATAAGGAGGCGAGGAGTCCTGTGGCACCTTATAAGTGCCTTATCTAGATAAGGATAGAGGTGAATCTTTCCTTGAGGCAATGGTGGGTTCTGAGAGTGGGTATTAGGGCCAGGATCTCCAGTAGGGCCAGCAGGATGGATCTGGTGAAAGCTGCGGAGGGTTCCAGGGCATGGGAAACCAGTCACTCCTCTGTGGGTGGACAGGAGGGTACAGGCACAATGCGGATGGTCTTTTTGAGTACTCAGTGATGATAGGGGATGGGTGGCCACTGCACTCCATCCAAATACTCCAAAGACAACAATTCGGATCCCAGTTCTAACAGTGGTACTTTCAGAGCCAGAGGAAGCATGTAAATGATTTTAAATGTGGTGAAGTGTGTCTTGACTGCGGAATATCCTGGGTGGAAGATTTGACCTCACCCAATGTGCACGTTAATGAAAGGTGTGGAGATCTTTGTTCTCCCAGGGCAAATAGTTTGTGTGATTGTGACACTATAATTTGGGGGAAGAATCTTGTAATGAGATCCTCATCTATATATAATTGTGATCTTGCATATAAAGCATGCCATGTGAGGTAACGGGGAAAGGTTATGATCTGTTGAAACACACTGTTCCATCTAAATATGTATATCATTAATGCACAGAAGTTATGAGAATGTACTATATGATTGTCACTAAACTACGCTGTGAGCTGGGGAATCACACAAATATTACATTCCCCAGAGACAAGAACAAGGGATCAAGCAACCATCAACAATCATTATCCTACAAGGGAGTCATAATTCAATAACTCACTTGCAAAGGTCACACCAGAGGAATTACTCTACCTTGCCTGGTGACTCAGCAATGCCCACCAGACATGCTCGGACTCTCGTTCTCCGAGCACATGGATTAAGGGTATAAAACAGAACACAGTGGCCCCATTCTTGGCTTTTTTCCTCCCCACACCTATATGCTTTAAGCAACAAGGACAATTAGAAGATTGAAGACTCCAACAGAGGAGACTAGCCTAAGTTTCAAGGGTGGAACCTATGTATATCATAAGTTTCAAGGGTGGAACTGTAATATCCAGTGGAATGAGAAAAATAGCTTAATCTAAATGTTGTCCAGCCTAGCAGGGTTGAAATTTTAGACTTCACCCTTATATTTTATTCTCTTTTGGTAACCACTCTGAGTTTTTGCCTATCACTTATAATCACTTAAAATCCACCTTCTGTGATCAATAAACTTGCTGTAATATTTATATTTACTGGTGCCGGAAGTGCTTGGCAAATCTGCTCAGGTTTACAAAGGCTGGAGAGGGGCTCCACATGTTGTTGTGCTGAATGATAACACTTGGAGAGATTTGCTGCTTATCACTAGCAAAGCATTGTGAGAGCGCGCCCCGGCTGAAAAGATAAAGGGGAGTATGGTCCCACAGTCCTAGGTGGGGATCCCACCACAGTGGTTCTCGTGCTTTTTCCAATCTTCTCAGTTTTAATGGCTCATTCCAAAGCCAAAACCAGGAATGAAAGGAGAACTTCCTCAAAAACAATAAATCTCTTATCTCAAAGGAGGCTGATGCTTACTGTGTGTGGAGCTTGCTACCAGGTACCGGCAGATACACTGGTTTGTGCAGGTTATTTGTCATATTTATGCATCTTGGAGCATGTGTTGGCTTCTCTGGGACACATTCTCAAAAAGCACGTTGCCCTTCTTTGATTTAGCAGAAGACTTAATATCATGCTTATGTGCATGTTTGACATCCCAAGTAGGTGCTGGCACAGTAGAGGGACATGCATTTTTAACTGTTGCAAGCTGATGTATCTGGATGAGAGTGGGCCTTTGGGTCTGATTGACACCTAATAGCAACTACCATGAAGTGCTTCTCAAGGCAAAGAGTCTGGCCTTCTCATGTACAGCTTGCAGATATCACACCTGGATGAAATGTGGACTTCTCCCAAGCAGTAAAGACAGCAGAGGTGTTTGTTGCTGATCGAGATGAAAGGCAGGCAAGAGCAACCAACAGATTTTAAATTCAGGTGTCTTTGGCAAAGCACAGCAAAGATTCCCCAAAGTCTCAGTTCTACTCTAAACACCACTAAAAAAAAAAAGCTAAAACTATGTCAAAACAGCAAAAATAGCAAATGCTACAACAAACTGTATACAACTCTATGCTTTTTTAGTTGCATTACGTGACAGGACAGTAATAGTTCCGACTTGGACCATGAGGCGCTAAGAAGGAACTGGAGACACAGTCTGTCCTACCTGCCCTCTATCACTTCAAACAAAACCATGAGGTGAAAGACAGTCACGAGCATGGACCAATGGACACTACCACCTTTGGATGTTCTAGCTCCGGATGCTCACATGCGTAAATCCTCAGCAGACTCATGCGCAAACCCTCATCTCAAAAAGATATATTGGCATTGGAAAAGGTTTGAAAAGGGCAACAAAAACAACTAGGGGTTTGGAACAGGTCACCTATGAAGAGAGATTAAAAAGACTGGGACTTTTCAGCTCAGAAAAGAGGAGACTAAGGGGGAATAGGATAGAGGTCTGTAAAATCATGATTGGTGGGGAAAAAGTGAATAAGGAAAAGTTATTTACTTATTCCCACAATGTAAGAACAAGGGGTCATCAAATGAAATTAATAGGCAGCAGGTTTAAAACAAACAAAAGAAAGTTTTTCTTCACTCAGTGAACAATCAACCTGTGGAACTCCTTGCCAGAGGATGTTGCGAAGACTAGAACTTTAACAGGATTCAAAAAAGAGCTAGATAGACTCATGGAGATTAGGTCCATCAATGGCTATTAGCCAGGATGGCTAGGAATGGTGTCCCTAGCCTCTTTGTCTGGATATGGATGACAGGAGAGGGATCACGTGATTATTACCTCTTATGTTCCCTCCCTCTGGGGCATCTGATATTGGCCACTATTGGTAGACAGGATACTGGGCTAAATGGACCTTTGGCCATCCTTATGACTACAACCAAAATCATTTGATGAAGAGCTCATCCTTTTCAAATATTAACATGAGGTTGGATAGGGTATGTGGCTCTTAAATTAAAATATTTTTGAAGACTAACTTAATATTGGAAACCTCATTTTTACAAGTTTTTTATTAACCTTGAAAAGTTATGCAAATACAATCAGAATTTAAACAAATGCAGTAATTTTAGCACATTAAGGCAAAGGTATTAAAATATAATTATAGTAAGTTTTACTGCTGACATTCCACTATGTCCACATTTAGTTACAAAGTGTATGCATACCTATAGAGTGTTGGTTTGCTCTGTAACACATGAGGATGAACATGTTGTTCAAAAAGACTGTACATGAGAACTGGCAAAGAAGTGAAACAAATGTTGTATAAAGTCAGGTATACACTGTCATAGAGAGTCTGTAAATGGAAACACATTCAATTAGTTTGAGTATGTTTAAAAATATATAAAAGGAATAGGAATAGCAAATCCACTTAATCCCATGTGAGCTTGCACTGATATTTTAAAAATATTAACATGTACAATATTCACATAAAAGTGCATTCTGCTGATTGTTAAGTCCTATTACTGTTATTTATTACTTATATTAATATAGAGTCAAAGAATTCCCATCTCAGACTAGGACTTCATTGTGACAGACGCTGTACTAACAGCACAAAGTCAGTCTCCTACTCTCCCAAAAATCTATAATTTAAGTGTACTCTAGTTTGAGCGTTTGTGATCATTTTTTCCCTATGCAAATATCAACTAATTTTCCAAGGTCAGGATAGGTTGATATTTCAAACACTGTAGCAGTGCTTCTTCACAGTGCAATTGTGCTGATGTAGTGCTTCTGAGAACTTCTCCCATCAGCATAATCAATCCGCCTCCATGATAGGCAGTATCTATGTTGCTCAGAGAATCCGTCCCATGGACACAGTGCTGATTACACTGGGATTAGTCACTATAACTTTCACTCAGGAGGCATGGGTTTTTCACATTTGAGTGATGTAGTTATACTGATGTTTATAGCGTCGACCTAGTCTCAGTCTTCAGGATACTGTGGGATGGTGTTGCCAGAATAAGATTTATATTCCCAAAGGGATTTAGAAAGATTTTTGCTCTTTTGATTCCAGAGGGAAAAAAAGTGTGCACTCCCAGAAATTCTGATTTGTAATATGATTGTTTGGATATCTGTCAAAGCTAATCTAATCAAAGATTTGTAAAGTTGAAGATAAACGTGTGTGTGAAACTGGTATAATATGAAGATTATATTTACACACAAACTACATGTATGCAATTAAAGCAGGGAAACTCAAATGCAAAAACAAAATCTCTATTACCTAAACAAACTTTGGGGTGCATAAAGTAAACCTTTACATTTTTAAAAGCCTTATGGTTATGTACTAGATGTTGGAAGGAAAAAAACCCAGACTGCATAAGATATTAATAATAAAATCTGCTATTTGTGTAGGAACGGACATAAGAGGTGATGCAGAGGAAACAATGAGACCTCTATCACTGGACCAATTTTCTAAACTTCAGACATGATGCCTAATTCTGCACCACATAATCCTCAAGACCACTCACCCATAAGATGAAATTTGCATGGCCTAACACATTAAAAGCACGGATCCTCAATCTCTAGCAACGATTTAATAAACTCTGTTCAGCTATTTGATCATTTACAACATAAAGAGAAGTGACTCAATTAGGATGGGGAATAATTCACTGACAAATGAACTTTTTAAATTTGATATTGCAAACTGCCACCTTGTTTTCTTACTGGTCATTAATATTCAAATGGAGGCTTGGTAATACTTTTAAGGTAATACTTAAATTTGTTATCCATTTGAAGTCAATCATTTCTACAGCAGATGCTGATTTGTCCATAACGTAGGAAAGATATTGCAAACACTTACAAATGCCCTCAAAAAATATGAGCTGTTATGGTCAGAGAAAACACATTGGTAATAATGTAATTTTATTCCCTCTATAATTATATTCCATTGAAACATACGAAAAACTCTCTCAGCAATTCAGTTTAAAAGTGACAAAACTAGAAGATGGAAGAGAAAAATAAAATATCCATGATTTCATACAGTCACTGTATAAAAGTAGCGGTCATGCAGCAGACACTTTTTCTGATTGGAAAGCTATTTTTTAAAATGCCACTAAGAAATAGGTGGCAGATTCTTTAAAAAAAGACAGCAGTCATTTTATAAAGAAAATAAAAATATATCAATTTTTTTTGTATTTCTGAAAAAGAATAAAGCTACAGGCCGAGGAATATGTAATTTAAAAAAATTAAGCTCAGCTGCCAAACTATACACAAAAGTTCCAAGAAAACTTCCAGTAAAAATAAAAATCTACTTTTATGGATTTGTAACTTTTCTAAAGTCACTGAGAAAAAGACAAGAAATGTATCACCAATATTAAGCAGTTAATCATTTTTTCTTTTTAAAGAATGGGAAGTGAATGTACTGCTTTTCTCCCCATTTGTCTCGTCATCTAATACCCTCTCCCATGTACAAAGAAGTTAGACAGTCAATACTTACTTGTTGTGAAAACAAACAGAAGAACTGATATAAAAATTGTGGTGTAATAAAGCAAACATTCTGAAAAAAAATGAAAGGGATTGTTAGTGCTGTAATGTATATCCCCCCACATCCTCTCCTGAAAAAAATGACTTATGAAGCAGGCATGAATATGTGGAGCAAGAAAAGCATTCTATTGTTTCACCATGAAAAGCAAAGTAGTAAGTCTCACCCTGCACCAGATCACATTTTTGAATGAATGTTCAATTTAAACAAATTCATCTTACAATCTACTATTCTTACAAGTACCACCTAAGATTTCATATTTGAGAATAATTTACACCAATATAAACACTTTTCACACTGATATAACTGTGTCCAGACTCAGGGGTTATATTGCTTTAACTATGGAAAAAAGTTTTAGAAAACAGCCTACAAGGAAAGACTGAAAAAAACCCAGGCGTAGATTATTTTGAGAAAAGATTTGATGGGGGACCTAATAATACTCTTCAAATACATTAGGATCCATTATAAAGTGGATTGATCAATAGTTCTCCATGTCCATTTAAGGTAGGACAAATCAAATGGGCTTAATCTGCAGCACAGGACATTTAGGTTAGATATAAAGAAAAAAGGTTTCTACTCTATGCGTAGTTAAGCTCTGGAGCAAATTTCCAAGGGGAGTTGTGGAATCCCCATCATTGGAGATTTTAAAAAACAGATTGGACAAATGCTTGACAGGGATGACCTAGATTTTCTTGGTCCTGTCTGTAACCACAGGGGGTTGAACTTGATGGTTTCTCAAGGTCTCTTTTAGTCCTGTATTTCTAGGATTCTATGATACAAGTTTCTAAACAGATATTGGTCTAGCAATACAAAAGCTGCATGTGGGCTTTCCTATACTTCTGGCTAAAATCAGTACTTCTGTTTTGTCTTGTGCACCAAAATTGAGGTCATGTGTGCTTGTACAGAGGTGTGCCACCATGACACCGAAGTTTTACTCTCTCTCTCTCTCTCTCTCTTTCTCTCTCTCTCTCTCACACACGTTACAGAAAAAGAACAGTAAAACAGGGATAATTAACAAGGTGCATGACTAAGTGTTTATTTAATAAGAAGTAAAATAAAAAGAAAATTAATACTGAAAAATTTTAAGTGGCCAACTTCCTCCCCCTCCCCCCCGCTGGATAAAACAAAATTAAGACTGCAGAAATTTAAATAGAAAGATCCCAGGTGCGGGAGCTGCTTTCCCCACTCAGCCCCCTCCCTGGCCTGCCAGAGCAGAGAAGCCACTGCAAAACACATGATCCTGGCCCACCGAGCAGTCAGAGTAGCTGCTCCAAATTACAAGGCCCCTGCCTGAGCGACCAGTGGAACATATCCCCAGTGGTCCCAGCCTCGGAGCCATTGCCCAGGCAACCTTAGCTGCGGCCCTATGTGCCAGAGCAGCCATGCCATTCACCTTCCAGGTCCAGCAGGAGCTGCTGCACAACTCTGGGAAGGAAGTGGGTGGGGTTTCGAATTTTTTGTGCATGGCCGCACAGGCATTCACCTTACAGGGAACACCGGTCAAGGATAGGATAAAAATTGAATGCCCTTCCATTTAAGGGTGGAAAATACTAAAATGGTGGCTTATGCACTCTGACAGAGCTGAGAGCAAGCAGAGGTTTTCAGGTACAGGAAATAGTTTAAGAGTATAGGGACTAAGGATGTTAAAGAGCAGTTATTTGGCTAAACACTTAGTCGATACTATTTGTCTCGACTACACAATTAGTCAATAAGGCCCGCTCTGCAGTAGCTCCCGCAGCCAACTCATGCCAGCTCTGGACCACTGTGCTCTGCCTTTGAAATGTGGTAAGAGCCCAGTGGCTCTTACTACATTTAAAAAGCAGAAGTGCAGCAGTCCCGGACTGGCGCAAGCTGGGACTGCTTGGTCCTGGCTTGCACCGGGTCCAGTAGCTCCTGTTCGCTACGGCCAGGGCTTTGCAGCAGCGTCCTATACCCTGTCCACTACTGCCTCTGGTAGAGGCAGTGAGGGAGGGGCAAGTGGCACCATGGAGAGAGTGCTGGGGGAAACCAGCTTTTAAGCCGTCTCTCCCCAGCTCCGGTTCCTGTTCCCCCCCCCTTGCTGCCTCTCATATAGAAGCAGTGGAGGGGAGGAGGAGGAGGAGGGCGGGCGCGCGAGAGCGAGTACTCCACTTGACTACACAATAAATTTATGCTCATCGGGTAGTCTAGTAGTCAACTACTTGCTTATATCCCTAATGGGGGACACATTCAACTGTGGGGGCAAGATGTTGCTATTGGGCCTTGGAGGCGAAGTTTGTCAATCTGTCAAATGATTCTATGCATTTGACCTGATAAGAATACCTCATGAAGTCCTTTCCACTATTGGAGAGGATATCTTGCACTATCAATGACCGTTCTTGTGTCAATGGAGAGGTCTATCCAAGAACCAAGCTGTCAGGTGTAATGTTCACGGATTCTAAAGCCTGAGTCTGGCACTGTGTTGTGTCAGCAGTTCTGGGCATGTCTGGAATGGGAGAGGACCTTGTTTAGACATGCCAAAAAGGAGCCAGAATTGGTGGGCCAGAACAGAGTGATCAGAATGGTCATTGTTCTCTCCTGCCAGTTTGTCGGGGGAGGCAAGGTTAGTTTAGCAAGCCTGACCTACTGATAACCAGAGAGATGACTAGCAAATGAGCATTGAGTTGTCTCTGGGGCAATACCGGGTGCAGTTGGTGTTGGTGTGTCATGTAAAAAAGTTTCTGATTGATGCACAACACAATAATTATGGACAACTCCCAATTGCCGTCAATTACAAAATTCCTGACATTGAATCTGCAGTCACATTCTGTAGTCCAAGTAGGTGGACTGCTGATACACCATTCCCAGAAGTGAACTGACTCCATATACTGTACTGGGGACCTCTGGCTCTCCTGTACATGTAGTATACTATAGTGGCTTTGTCTGACATGACAAGCACATGGCAACAGCAGACAGCTGGTAAGAACGCATGACATGCTTCGTTTAGTGACCCAAGTTATGTGCATCCTAGCCTTTTTGCATGTTCCTGGTGACTTGTGCCATGTGATTTCCAATGTGAGCAACACAACCTGTGAGTGACGTGTCCATTATGACTCTCATAATTGGCAAGGAAGGCCATCCTAGTAGCATATCTGTAGCTGGCCCCTCCGTCACCAGAGGGAAGAGATAACCTTTGGAGAAATGTTGAGTACAGTCTCCATGGTTTGGTGCATAGGAAAATAGACTCTTTGTAGCCACACAGACAGTGAAGGTACAGGCCTGCAAAGAGCCTGAAATATGTGCCCACCATCACATGCCCTATGATGGAAAAGCAGGTCCCCTCTAAGACTGAAGGGTTAGAAGTTATCAGGGCTAGTTGCTCCAGTAAGTTCTGGAATCTATCCTGTAGCAGATAAGCTTGCATAGAAGCCACATCGATGCAAGATATTATAAATTTGTGGAACTGAATAGAGCTGATTTTTTTTTTGACATTAATGATCACTTAGGTAGGAGACAACATTAGAGCTTCATCTTTGGACTATGCTCTTTCCACTGCTCTACAGAAGGGAGTCCACCTCTAAGGTAAGAATACTGTTACAAGGGCAGGAGATGGCATGGAGATGGTGTCAGCATAAACTCCAGAGGGTAGCTATGTTGAACGATGTTCAAAACCTACTTGCTCATTGCTACAGCTCTCCAAGCTGGTAGAAAGTTTGAGAGAACCTCTCAAACAGGTGGAGGGTTGGAGCTCAGTATATGGAGTGGTTGATGGCTCTCTGGGCACATTCAGGAACACTGCTTTCACCATGGCAGCGTGTTGTGCAGAGGTCTGTGTTGCCGGAACAGCGGACAGGTTCTGTGTACGTTAGGGTGCTTCTGAGAAAGGCTGTAGGCTTACTGGTGATAGAAATATGGAGTTCTATAGCAGTGGGCTGATGATAGAGCCTAAAATTTTCTCTTTCGTGCTGGTGTATATATACCCAAGTATCATAAAGAAGTTCTTTGAGTGTAAGAAATCAGTTTTCTAGTTGATTGGGTATGAGTTGCCACAGGGAAGGTCCTTGATTATGTTCTTGTACTTCTCTAGGGAAACCTGAGGAACGTTACCAGGATTTACTCCTCATGATGATTCAAATTGCGTCTGCTGAATCAATCGCAGCCTGCAGTATGTACCTGGCAACCAATCTGTCACCTTTACATAAAATTGCTTGAAATAAAATATGATCTTGTTGAGGCAATTTATCTTCCAATTCCTCCATCTGGATAAAGAGTACACTTGGCCATCAGTGGCAAGTATCTAGAGATCCAGAACTGTAGTCCAATCAAGGAGAAGACCTTCTGACCCACAAGGTCCTGTCTGTTATGCTCCCAATCTGTAGGGATAGAGCATGGGTGTTTGGTCTGCTCTGATGCAGTCTGCATTACCAAGGAGTCAGGTAAAGCATGTGAAAAATCTAAATTCTGACCCTTTTGGGGAGAAGCAGGACAGGATGTCGTACCTTTTTTAGTCCCCTTTGTGGTTGGTGCACATGACTGGGGTATGCTACACAATACATACTGCTTGAATAAACCCATGAATTATGTCCTTGCCTGTACTGATGTGTGCAGAATGTCAAGTTAATGGCGCTGTCGTGCACTTTTTCCAGGGAGATATCAAAGCTATTGGCTATTCTCCTTAGTTCTTGAGAAGGATGATAGTTGTCTGGCAGTGATGAACCTCTTTTCCAAATGTCTATAGCATGAAAAGTGAGGTAGTGAAGCACTCCCTCATCGAACTAGACCATTCTGAAATGGAGTTAGACAAGGCATAAATCAGCCTGATGCTGGCAGTTCTCGGGAGAATACTGGGCCGGGAGTTCCAGTGAGACCAACCCAGTTGATCCTGGTCTTGTACTTGTGTCCAAGGAGCCAAATACCAGTTTCTAGGGTAAGGCAAATGATGAAACTGACATGGAGCTGTCAGAACCCTTTGGCAGCTGTAATTCTGGAATGGAAGTGGAACACTGTGATGAGCATCTAGATCTTCAGATTTAGAGAAGTTGGAGTCCTTCATGAATGGTGGTGCTGGTAGAAGAGGACGTGTTAAGAGAGCAGTTGGTAACTGTAGTGCAGGAGATGTAGCCCTCTACAGAGGTGAGTGGACTGGAACACAGAGACCCCGCTTCTTTCACAGTGAATGGTTCATGAGGGCTGGGAGCATTTCTGAGTCTCCCTAGAGTAAATGGTATCTCTGGTCTATTGACGGATAAATGGTATCTCTGACCTATTGATGGGACTGGAATTGGTAAAGGCAGCTGTCTCAGGATTGACAATATAATACAGAGATTCATTATTTCTCCTCTGTGCCTTGAAATATGCAGCTCTTCCATGCCTAGAATTCATGGACCAGACAGTGTCCTTGCTGGATTTAAAGTAATACTTACTGCCATGCTTATGCGCATGTTTCTGTGGCTCGTGGCTAGGCCCCAACTTAGGATCTGTAGCACTGGTACAAGCAGATCCAGATGGATATTTCTTGGTAGGGGGAAGTGCTCTTGGATTGTTCAGGCTGATGTACAATGGGAGTTGTCTGGCCAGGATCCAACTTCAGCCCCAGGAGGAGCTCTGTGTTTGAGATAAAGAGCTTGGCCTTCCTGTGTAATGGGCAGGGAAGGAGAAGCAAATGCTGTGGGCTTCCCCCAGTGTTCGTGTTCATTTTTTATGGAAAATGAGTGATGGCAGGAAGCACATAATCTGAACCTTAGCATCTTTAGCATAATTCAGAACCCAAATCTAACAGCTTGGGAGGGCAGGGGTAGGGGAGAGAGGGAATGTAATTATTTGATAGGAAAACATATCAAAGCAGTGTCCTAAGCAATTATTTAGTTACAACAAAACCCAACAGATTGCTAATTATAACAAAAATAAAAATGTTTTTGTAATTTTTTTTAAAGTGCATCACTATGGACAAGGGGCCAGCAGAAGTTCCAACTTACACCATGTGGCAGTGAAAAGGAACTGCAGACTTGGTGGATCCCTGCCCTTTATTGCCACAGGCTATACCATGAGGCAATACAAGGGTGACTACATGTAACACTCATTGAAATACAGAAGGGACCATCACTTGAATAATACATCCTTTTTTTAATAAAACAAGAAAAGATGACTGTACATGAAAACAAACAAACAAAAACCTGACAGAGGAACTGGGATCTGGGTAGTACCAAAGATGACCTTTAAATCATTTTAAAATCTGTTTGGATTTCAAGTTGGTTGTGTTACTTTAACAGATGAACTATAGCTGTATACTAGCCTAGATGAATTCTGCTGCAGTATCAAAAGATACTTCTATTAGTCAATATTGCACAAACTCTGAAGCAAAACAGGTTTCTCTTTTGGGGTGTACTCTGTTGCATATCAATATTCAAACAAATTCCCAGTGGGAGATATTTAATACTCTGGTGATTCAACTGCAAGAATTAAGTCTGAACCACATTTACAAACTTCATTGACACACTGAATAGACTTACCTTATAAAAAAAGTACTGTACAAGGGTTGCTATCCTAATATAGTAAAAGTGGCCATGGACAAAAAGCAACTTGGAAAGGAATTTAAACCTTGCTATTGCATAGTCACTGTTTCTTACAGCTTGCCTTCCTTCTTTCCCCATGATTCCTGTAATATTTGGGACACAAAATACAAATGAAATTAAACACTGCAGAAAAAGTAAATTTCTTAAAATAACCTGTTGCTTTCAAATGTGAATCTTCTTCAGGTGAGGAGGTGAGGGATTGTGGAATGGGGGAAAGACTGGCTGGCGGTGAGGCATTCTGTGTGGTGGCCAGGGAGCAGAGGAAGGGGGATTGGCTAGAAGGTGGAGGTCCCAGGGGGCATTTGAGGGTGGAGGCTGGGCCTGGGCCACACCTAGCTGCTTGGGGAGGCATAGCCTCCCGCAGCCTTCCCTACAAATTTTAGAACACTGATGTAGTTCTCTGGCCAAAAGGTTTGCCTACCCCAGTTTATAGCACAGAAAATATGTTAAGGGAACAAAGCAACAATAAAGAATCAGAAAAAACTTTCTTAAAATGTGCAAATTTAGCATCAACCCTTGAATTTACTTATTATGCCAGTTTTAGAGAAAGATTTTCAAAAAAAGTTTGCAAAAGATAGCATTACTAGAATTGTCTGCATAAATTACAAATGGAACTTTGGAGTAGTGTGTATCATTTTATGTTCTTTACATCATTTTTATGTTAACTAACCACATACTATGACAATCTGCTATTTACTTGGCATGTTTCTCAAGCAGGTTATCTTGCGCTCTTCACAGTAACCAGAGTAAATACATATTGTGTACATTTGTCTTGCCACAGAAAGGATGCTAGTAGGTCAGAGGTTAGCCACATTGGAAGGGGATGGACCTCAGGAAGAAGAGGCGGGGCCACGATACTTCCCTGCTTCCTCCCCTACAGACCGTGATTGGTCTGGCGGTGGAGGAGCACATAAAGTCTTTGCCACCCCCAGAGGTTCACCCCTGGTGGTGGGAGGAGACTTTGCATGCTCTCCCTTCTGCCCCCAGGCCAATTAGGGCTTGAGGGCAGAAAAGCATGCAAAGTCTCCTCTTACCCTGCCAGGGCGGAGGAAACTTCGTGCGGTTCTCTTCACCCTTCAGCCCTGACTGGCCTGGGGGCGGGAGAATAGGGCCTCTTGATGGGGCCTCTTAACCTGCTTGATGGGCTGGATCTGGCCCATGGAGACCCTTTTGCCCACCGCTATACTAGGTGCACATCAGGATATTCAAGACCTTGCAGCTATTTTTAGATCAGTGTGTAGTAATGAAGCTAGATGGATGATGTCAAAATTTTAGTTATACAAAGGAAATAGCTTCGATACTGCATCAAGAAAGATGTTTAATAGTGTTTAAGTAATGTCTGAAGATAATTAAGAGATTACCACTTTATGGAGGTCGAGGTTCTGATATGCACTCTAACAGACACAAGCTACTGATATTTAAGGTACCGGCTTCAGAAGGGAATAGTTGTTCTATTGAGATTCCACTGAAATTCTGACATACAACATGCCACTGCAAGTATGTTTAAAAATGACCGGAATACTGATGTATCATCATTTTTAGGTGTCAAAATGTCTAAAGTTTAGGAGTTTAAAAGTACAAGTATAGACTAATTCGACATATAGTATAATGCTTAAGAACAAAAACATTAAATATTTATATTAAAGTGAAAGTTCTGAGTTACCTATGCCAACGTGTGCTTCTTGTATCATGCTTACATCATTAGCCCCATCACCAATGGCTAACGTAATAGGTTTCTCTGGAGATGTTTTTAACAGCCGTACTACCTGGAAAAAAAGGGGGAGGAGTAGGAGGAGAGAGATTTTCAGTTTATAAGTCTGTCGATTTATGAGCAGCTTATTTACCTGTAAATAACTGCAACTGCCAATGAACCCCAGGGATAAACATACTTGGATAGAATATCTCCAGCATGTCCCATAAGCAGAACAAATTCACAGCTCTACCGGAAAAGCCTCCTGTTCTTGAATACAACTTTTAGGATATGTCTACACTGCAATCAAGTACGTGAATATAGCTGGGGTAGGCAGAACTACACGAGCTTTAATCTAGTTATGCAGACATGGCAAAATAGGTATCAGCACCATAAAAATGATATGAGAAAGTCAGGAATTCCAATGAAGAATGACACCAACAAAAACAGTTCCTTCTCTTTTCAAAGCAAAGCAAGTTTAGTGCCCAATTTCGTTACCAGGCAGGATAACTGCAGAAGAGGGGACATGAAAAAAACGCTGTATCTCTGGATGCAAGAATTATGTGCATTCTTGAGAACAGCAGTTCTCAAAATCTTTCCTTTACACAGAAAAAATACATTCTGAATAGGAATCTGCTCACCAAAGCTAGGGATACTCCAACTTGAGAGGCATAACTTAGAAGAGACATACGGCCAAGAAATAATGAATCATTCATTTCCTGGATGTGATAGTTCAAAGGGATAAAACATCACAAAATACAATTACATATGGTCGGAGCCTTTGAGGTGCTGAAGGTGGAACCAGAAATCTTTTCAAAACATATCTCCCAGAGGAAAATCATGCGACTCCTTGATGTATCAATATGGAGAAATAGAAGAAATAGCTTAAGGAACACAATCTTACAGGCCTAGAGTAAGCTGCCACAATGCATGTTTATCCTCATTGCCTGTTTTGAAGGATAAGGCAAATCCGTTCCATCTGAAGCTGCTTTTAACGTAGGTTATGATAAAATGTAGGAAATGAGTAAGATCTATTTGTAGGAGAAAACATGAAGTAAATGATGTGAAAAATTGTTTTTGCTGGCTGCCACCTTTGGCAGCGAAGAATAAGAACCCCACAGATGCAAAAGCAACTATATAGGTATTGACCCAAACCTGGGAGATAGCTACACTTTCAAGATGCATTCTGGCAAGAAAAATTTCAAGTCAAGCAAAATATGTAATATGACTACCATCCTCAGGCCAGTGAATTGTCTCAGCCAGTGGGGAACAGTAACATCAAGAAACAAACTTCTGAAATTTCAAATACTTGAAAAATGAAAATCTCTCTGATTTCAGTGGCTACTGAAGCAGGGCCATGATTAACTGTTTTGATTCCCATATAATTATTTAATATTAAATAATAGCTCACTGGATATATCAGAAGCCAGTTCCACGCTGGAAAGGTGTCCGATGCTCTTAAAAAACTGTTGCCGATTGATCTATTTTCAGTTCCATGACATTAAGCAGCATAATAATCTCTCCCAGGAGCAACAGATGTATCATGGCAGTTAGCCAAGCTACCAGTTACTCAAAAGCATTCCAGAAAGGATTGTTTATAGGCAAACACCAATCATGAAATTTCACCCAGGACTGTAATATTGAATCTATCTGGATTGCTGGATGGGATAGTGGTAAACAAATTACCAGTATTTCCGCAACCATTTTCTTCTACATAGTTTGAACAGAATCACAGTGTCTAACTTCATTCATGTGACCAACATGAACAAGTCAGATAGATACCAACTACCCAGTCTTGCAGAATACCCAGGAATTTATTAAAACTGCTGAAAAAAAGTCAATGAAGACCTAAATATGAGTAGATGTAAAATCCAGGGCTTTCGAGAAAAATATAGTTTGGAAGCACATTACCACTAGAGATCATATTCTGACTTTCAGAAGCTAGGAATCATTTCCCCTCAATCTCCTGGATCTTTTACACCTTTTAAGAACTGAAGCAGTAGTTTCTCCATAAAACTTCTCCAATTTAATTCAAGAAGATTTCTCCTTTTAGCTACAGGGTTGAGATGGAAAGGATTTCCTTGAAGGAGTCTAATCTGTATTACTCATTAACAGGACTGGACTCTCTT